TGACTTTTTTGCGGTCTGTAGGTCTAATGCCTACCATTTTTTTTTTTTTCAAAAGTGGTATTGCTACTGCCATGGACCGTCAAAATAAATGGTGCATACTGTGCAGCGTGTTACCAAATCTCACAAAAAAAAATGGTCTAAACTTTTTTACAGTGGCAACCTTCAAAAAAAAATAAATAAATAAAATCATAAAAATGCCAAAAACACCGCTTTTTTGGTACATGTATTCAAGTATATTAATATATTCGATTTTCTAGATATGCCGATTTTTTTCCTTGAAAAGTTTCAATGCAATCAAAAAAGAAAATTGTCAATTCAAATTGAATTAAATCCTTTCCCAAGGGTTATCGATTGATATTCATATTGCAAAATTGCACTTAAATAAGTTTTATGACTCATTAAAATATATTGCAACTCTGTTAAAAGTTCTCTCGGCTAACATTTTTCTCTACATACATCTCGGGATCCGATTGAAGGAAAATAAAATTGGATACCATTGGATGGCATTTGGTTCAGACTCTCGAGGATTCTGATGTTGAAATTACGGGCCGGCTTTAATCATTTCGTGCCTGGCAGAAATCAATAGCTCAATAGTCGAACGATGAGCAGTTAAATCCAACTGCCGTTAGTAGGCGCTATGGTATTAACTTTTAAGAGCACGATATTAGTGCTAAGCGTATGGTCGTCATTTTTCGGAACACTACTTTGTAGTGAGACCCAATATAGATTGAAGATGTGCTGCCAAAGAGTTTGCAGGGATTGTCGATATTATTAACCACATACCGAGTTAATTTTTATCTCTTTAGGATGAGGTACAACCAAAATTTCTTTGCCTAAAGATATTTCCTTCAGGTACCACTCCCAGCCAGCTCATTTCATAACGTTTGTCCAAAAAATGTCTACAGCAAATGCCAAACCGAGCTTACTCTATACAGTTCGGAAAAACAGCTATTATTTATTCGTAATCTTAATTTTTCCCTACAAATGTTTTATAGAGTTAGCTGCCTTACCTTTTGTAAGTACAATTTTTCCCCATCTCATTCCAGGCAACATCGAAATCTTACACAACAACAAATGGGGTGCCATTTGCGACGACGAATGGGATGCGCTCGAGGGCCGCGTTGTCTGCCAGCAACTGGGCTATCCTGGTCTTCGACGCGTCACCCACAATGGATTTTTCGGTTTAGCGCGACGCCGCTACTGGATGGATAACATGTACTGTGAAGGCGACGAACACGAACTCACCGACTGCCACTTCGATGGTTGGGGTATAAACGACTGTGAAGCTAATGAAGCCGCCGGTGTTGTCTGCAAGAGTCCGCAAGCAGAGCGCACAACGGAGGCACCTTTGCCACAGCACCTGCCAAAATTCACGCTACCACATGCCTATCGTATCGAATTGCGGTTACGCGGTGGACGCCGAGCACACGAAGGACGCGTTGAAGTGCGCATCGATGATGGCCGATGGGGCACGATATGCTCGGACGGATGGTCATTGTTGGAAGCAAATGTAGTTTGTCGTCAACTGGGTTTGGGTTTCGCGCGCGACGCGCTTCAAACAGACTATTTTGGTGGATTGGACATTGCGCCGGCGGTACTAAGCGGTACCGAGTGTTATGGTAATGAGACTTCGTTGGCACAATGTCTACATCACGACCACTTACGACCGGCTGCGGAATGTCACGGTGAGCGTAATCATGTAGCGGTGGCGGTATGCGATCATTTGGCGCCCGATTTGGTGGTGGACTTCTATGAACTAGAACGCACGGCGCACTTGGAAGATCGACCGATGGCACTGATGCAGTGCGCGATGGAGGAGAACTGTGTAGCGAATGAGGCTTATGACATACAGAGAGATGATCCTAATTGGCGTTATGTGACACGGCGGTTGCTAAAATTCACTGCGAGTACACTGAATGCGGGCAACACAGATTTTCGGCCGTTCAAGGAGAAACACCTGTGGGAGTGGCACATGTGTCATATGTAAGTGGGAATGGAGAAGGGTTTAGTAAAGGCTTTCTAGACAGATATTTTCTCTTCGCAGGCACTATCACAGCATGGAGGTATTTGCCACATTCGATGTCTATGATCTGATGGGCAACAAGGTGGCACAAGGACACAAAGCATCCTTTTGCTTAGAGGATAATCAGTGCCTATCAGGAGTACCAAAGAAATATAACTGTGCCAATTTTGGAGATCAAGGTGGGTTAGAAGTGGAAATGAGTTGGCGCTGAGGTTTTTCATTTTTATTTTACATCCAGGCATCTCAGTCAATTGCTCTGATATTTACCTTTACAATTTGGACTGCCAGTGGGTGGATATTTCGGAATTAGATACCGGTTCTTATATTTTGAAAATCGCCGTTAATCCGGA